CAGATGTCAGTCTTCCCTCCCCCCCACCCCGCTCCCCCTTCCTCATCTCAGTTTCTGTTTCCCTGCAAGACCGCCTTCTGAATTGCCGAATCTCCAAATTTTTTCCTAATCAATTCAGATGCTTCGAATCGATTCTGAGGTTTTTATGGGTCTCCCAGCTTGATTCAGATTTGATAATACAGCCTCTGAATCGGGCCGAATCTTCTCCAAACCAAATCAGTGACCAAAGCTTTGCACACCCTTAATATTTACAATACCTTAGAAATTTATATTTACAATAGCATGCTGACTCCCTCTCTTTTCTTAAAGAAGTTGGAGTTGATATATCATTTTGATTACTAGTTGCAAAAAAAGTCAGAGGAAAAATAAGATTGAAGATCAGTTACAATTACCACTCTCACTGATATTTTAGCCTTCCTCTTAGAAACCTGGACCTCCTTTGAGCCTGTGAAATCATTCTGCCTCAACACAGGCACTTTTATCTTTTGTTAATTGTATAGTCTGATGTTCTTTGGAGCAGGCCTTGTATATTTTTGCTTGTTATTTTATGTTTCTGCTAAACAGGGAAAAAAGGAACAGGCATTGGCTCACCTGCATGAAAGTGCATGATGATGATCAGTCTAACTGCTCGTATCTGTACAATGTGCTCTGTGTGGAAAAAGGTTCCGGTGAGTCATCTGGGGCAGAAAATTAACATCCAGTGGATGAATTCTTCAGGAAATATTATGGTCCTTTTCTTACAAACATCTAAACCAAAGTTTATCATGTTGTTATATGGAGCATAACTTGCTAGTAGTATTTATGAATGTACTCAGATCAAGGAAGGTATAGACCTTTGAAATCTGGGTAGTGATGGTTCTTGCATCATTCCATTCTACAACTGCGAAAATGAGTATTTCTCAGAATATGGGCCCAGGGTTACAGTTATTATTACTGAAAGTGTACTTTACTGGAATGCATTCATTCATAATGACACTGGGAACCATATGGAGATATTTGAGAATACTTCTGTGGACAAAAGTCTTCCAGAAAGTATATTTACTTCCTTGAAAGTATACCAGAATGTTGCCAAACACAATTAACTAGGTGTAAATAACAGGGATTTTTTCATGGGTATTTTATCTATACTTTTTCAATACTACCTAGATTTTGAGTGGGACATTGATACTAGTTCTCTGGAAACTGCAACTTCCCATTTCTTCATTCAAACAGTGAATATAACTACTGCAGTTGATTAGAAAATCATTTTAAACCAATGAGAAGTTAGCTAAGGACTGCAAGATCTCATTCAAGATCTCATTCAAACTCATTCTGGTTTATCATCCAGCATTAATCAACTATGATCACTATCTTGCAATTGTACAGAGCACCATTCAGAATGTTGTAATTGCAGCTGAAGCTATGCGGGTTGTTTCCCTGTTGCTTATTTCCAAACCTCTCTGTTCCTCTATCTATACTACTGCTTCCATTACTGTTGGTGCTGCTAGTTTCATGATGTACTGGGATGCCAATCTTGATTCCATATCCATGATCAACTTTGTCATTTGTATAGTGTTTTCATTTGTATAGGACTTTTTGGCATACATTTTGTATGCATTTGGTTCAAATGGAAAGCCCATTGTGAATGAAAGGGCAGTGGAGGCACTGTATATTCTTGATTACCCTGTAACACAAGAGGCTTTTTCCATTTTATTGGGAGTAGTGAGTCTAACTGCAGCAAAAACTCACATCTTCAGAAACTTGTTTAAGATTATGTTTCTTGTTATCTTGTTTGGGACGTTCATGGTCTTGTTTTCATTCCAGTGGTTTTAACTTTCTTTGGGAATTTTGGCAGATCAGCCCACAAATCTATAAATACAAACTAATCAACCCAAAGTAGCAGCAACTAGAGTAATTCAATACAAAAAAGTAAAAAACTTACACAGAGTACATATCCTAGTATTGATTTTTGCGGAGGTCCAGGTTGGCCATGATTATAAATGACAAATGTAAAAGTAGGGTGCTAATATAGAAAGATCTCAAAGCTATCTGTAGATTAAAAGACCACGCTCTCAAGGGCAGAGAAGAAACACAGCAGTCAAAGAGGCAGTAGCATGAGATCAAGGGACAAACTAGCAATAGGAAATAAAAGAAAAGAAGAAATGAGTGTGGCAACCGCGTGTGGCAGCCTAAATCCTGGCACTTCTTAACTTTTGAGTGCTTGACTTAAACCTCCTATTTAATGTAAAATGACAACTTTGCATGTGTTCTGTTAGATTTAGAGCTTCTTGTATTAATTTGAGTCCTGTCTATTGGACAGGTCACACGTATTGCTCATTCACTGTCTGGTTGGTCAGGACACACACCCAGAAGAGGGGATGTAAGCAGGCTTTTTACCTTGCTGCTTTAGAGAGACAAGTCAGTTCTGTTTTCAGATTATCAGACCAGGTTATTCCACACAGAAAACCCTTGCCTCTGTATGCCCTCTTTCTTTCAGCATTCCCTCCTAGAGCTCTTAAGAGTCCTCGTGGTTCCACTCTTACTAGTGGACAGTCACTTCCAGCTGGCCCTCAGCCTCCCAGTCAGGCATGCTATCATCAGCTGGCTGCCTGCAGCTGGATTCCAAGCCCTTGAGGGGCCAAACACCTCCTTACAGGTGGGGTATTCTCATCTCCTGGAAGACTGGAATAAGGCCACTGCTTTGGTGTCCTAGCTCCGGTCACTACTGCACCTGCCAAATAAATTTCCAAGGAATACTTCCATGGAGAGGTTCTTTTGAAAGGGGGAAACCAAAAAGTCTCTCAGAAGCTTAAGACAGTCATGGAGAGGACCAAACTCTTAAAAGGAAGACACTATCTCCCAAGTCTAAACCATCAGAAGATGGTGTGCCTGGAATTCTTCAGGAAATATTGTCCTGCCCTTACAAACACCTGGACCAAAGTGTTTCCCTCTACCCATGAAAGGTCAGACATTAAGTGAAATAAGTGTCTGAAAATGTTGCATTATTTAAAGAACTCTTGTGTTACAGAGTACCTGCTATCACCTGCTTTGCTTGAAGTCGACTGTGGCAGATCGTTGTACTCAACACCGGTCAGTTTCCAGGGAGCGCAGGTAGCCTAGCCTAGCAGGACCAGCAGAAAATTCGTGGTTGGTACCATGTGCATGGCCAGAACGGGGAGAACGGCGCGATTCCTTTCCAGAGAGAAAAAGGCTTAAGGCTTAAAACCTAGAGGGGATGCCCTCAGAGACATGCAAAAGCATCAAAGGGTCAGCTAGCAGTAAACTACCTTTCATATTCAACTGTGAGAACCCCTTTCCCAAGGGCCATTAGTAGGAACAAATCAGGACTCTTCTATGATTTAAAGGAATTACTGGCAGTTATGTTACAGACCAGCTACTAGATAGAAGGACAGCATGTATTTTGCCAATAGTGTATAGAGCCGATTGCTAGACTTAGAAAAGTCAGGAGTCAAGACTCCTGGCTGTGGAGGTAAATGGAGCCTTGTAGTTACAGACACTATACATGAGTACATAGATTCGGCATGTTTATATTAAAAGGTCTCATGGAGAGGAGGAAGAAACAGTAGATTTTATCCCCAGCTCTCTATTTTTTGACTAGATGTTACCTAGAGTTGACAGAAGTCTGGACCCTGGTACAAAATGTTAACCACCTCCCAGCATCAGATGATGTGGAGTATGGCAGGAAAATGCTTGTATGTGGTGCTCGTTAGGGGTGTGTGAAATAGGCCACATTCAGTTCAGATTTGGCCTGAATTGAACACAGTGATTCAATTAGGTGATTCAGACCGCTGTCCCTGATTTGATTTGGCCAAATCTAAAGATTTGATGCCAAGTCGGAGAACCAGCGATTCGGCCAGACACAGCTTTAAAAGTTTTTTCTACATACCTTGAGGTACCAGGTGCGGCTCA